CAATCCATCCATTCTTCTCTTTTCCCTCCCTCCCTTCCCTTCCATCCCTCCCTCCTCTCCCATTTTCTTCCATCAATCCATCCATTCTTCTCTTTTCCCTCCCTCCCTTCCCTTCCATCCCTCCCTCCTCTCTCCTTTTCTTCCATCAATCCATCCATTCTTCTCGTCCCTCCCTCCATCATTCCTTCCTTCCATCCCTCCCTCCCTTCTCCCATTTTCTTCCATCAATCCATCCATTCTTCTCTTTTCCCTCCCTCCCTTCCCTTCCATCCCTCCCTCCTCTCTCCTTTTCTTCCATCAATCCATCCATTCTTCTCGTCCCTCCCTCCATCATTCCTTCCCTCCATCCCTCCCTTCTCCCATTTTCTTCCATCAATCCATCCATTCTTCTCTTTTCCCTCCCTCCCTTCCCTTCCATCCCTCCCTCCTCTCCTCTTTTCTTCCATAAATCCATCCATTCTTCTCTTTTGTCCCTCCCTCCCTTCTCCCATTTTCTTCCATCAATCCATCCATTCTTCTCTTTTCCCTCCCTCCCTTCCCTTCCATCCCTCCCTCCTCTCCTCTTTTCTTCCATAAATCCATCCATTCTTCTCTTTTGTCCCTCCCTCCCTTCTCCCATTTTCTTCCATCAATCCATCCATTCTCTCTTGTCCCTCCTTCCTTGCTTCCTTCCTTCCCTCCCTCCCTCCCTCCCTCCCTCCCTTGTAGAGCTCTGTGCCGGGTGCGAGTGAAGACGAGGAGGAGAGCATCTCTGCCTTTCTCTGGTGGCTTCTAGGTGTGTAATTGCTCCCCACGGTAACCATCAATCTGGGCTGATGTGACCTGGGAAGGGGCGGAGAACACAATCCTCTTTCCAAACCAAACCCTATAAACCAGCCAACATATTTTTTTTCATTTTATAGTGTGGTGGGAGGAGAAGGGCGATTCCAAAATAATAATAATAATAATTAATGTAATCCTTGAATTTGCATCTGATAGATTTCAACTTCGTATTAAATCAGATGTCATTTGTGCTCTGGCCTTCCCCTCTTTGTTCTCTGGCCAGCTATATTTTTGTCGTTGTTATACTTTGTCCAGGCCTGATTAAAGTTGTGATGTGGTTGCTCCCTCTGCCTACACAACAGAGGCAACACGAATGCATTAATCACACTAGCGAAGAGGCTTTCTATATTGCCACCCCAGCCTTTCTCTGACTGCCCTGCCTTTGCTAAGCTTGGCTGGATAGTTTAATCTTGGGTGTGTTCACTTAGTCGACAGAAAAAAGAAAAAAAAACTCCTACGGAAATTACTCACAACATAAGAAGGGGAAGTGGGCTCTTGGCAGCATTAATGCTAACCTTTGGGGGCTGTGCACAGGCAACAGTTTTATACAGGGCCAAGGATGTGTTTTCATGGGGTCCTCGGTGGTCGCTGAGATTGATAGGGTTCTTGCAGACGTTTCACGACTGAACTAGATAACGTTATCAGTGCTAAAGGAAAGGGGATTTGGGGAGTGGAGGAGGAGAAGGAGAAGGGGAGGAGGAGGAAGAAGTAGCAATAGCAATAGCAGTTAGACTTATATACCGCTTCATAGGGCTTTCAGCCCTCTCTAAGCGGTTTACAGAGTCAGCATATCGCCCCC